ACATTTTCTCTTTATAGCTTACAGCAAAGGAGAAAAAGTTCAGAGGACTCTCAAATGAGCTAAACTGTCAGAAGCAAAATTTTGAAAGTGTGCAGTGTGCTTTACAACAGAAGATTAAGGACAAGGACCAAGAGGTGAGGTGCTGCATTATAGTTACAGGTAGTGCTTCTTACAACTGTTTGTTTAACGATGGTTCAGAGTTATGATGACCTTGGAAAAGGTGTGTCACAACCTGTATTTATGACTATTGCACCACCACCATGGTCCTGTGATCACAATTTGGGCACTTGGCAACTAGGTCCCATTTACAACTGGTTACAGCATTCTGTGGTGATGTGATTGCGATTTGTTTTCTTTTTCCTTTTTGTCAATTTCCAGAAAAAAAAAAGATCACTGGGGAAGGTAGACTTCCTCAGCAACTTGTTGCAGCTTTAATAAAGAAAATATTGAAGGAAGCATATGCTTTCTTAATTGAAAAATAATATTTGAATAGTTAACAGGGTAAACCTGGGAAATCTAATCTTTTCAGAATTTCTGGTTTTAAAATTTCATGTTTATAAGAGAAAATATTCCATGTTCATCAGCATCTTTCCTTTCCTGATGTCAGAATTCTAGTCGTAGCATTTACGTTCTACAACAAAGAATGTGGTTTGAAAACCCAGGTGTCCATAGAACTACCATTGGTGCTGGTAGTATAGCAGACTCACTAGCAATTTTAAGTATGTTCAGTTTTGTGTCAGCCTCTACCTATCACAGGTAGAAAAATTTCCAGATAGATATTGGTCTGTAGCATTAGCAGGAATATTTACTCAGTTCCAGAAGTTATACAGTTTATGGCCTTATAGAGCCATAGTTGCTCAGTGGTTAGAATACAGTATTGCAGACTAATTCTGCTGACTGCCAGCAGTTTGATTCTCACTGGCTCAAGGTTGGCTCAGCCTTCCATCCTTCTGAGGTCGATGAAATAAGGACCCAGATTGTTGGGGAAAATATGTTGACACTTGTTAACCGCTTAGAGTGGGCTATAAAGCATAAAAGCAGTATATAGGTTTAAGTGCTATTGCTATATACCACTCATACAGCTTTTGCTATTAGGCAACTTTTAAGCCCATTTATTATCTTTGCAATAGATTACACATGCAAAAAGAAATTCCTGTGCATGTGCACAATCCATATATTTGCTGACAGTGATCAACAATAGATGTTGGAAAACATCTATTTTGTTTTTACTAGAATGTGATGTCAAACATGCAGACATTTTGGCGACTATCAGGGACAAGATGGATAGTTTAGTCCAAATGTGTCGTTAGATATTGCCTTAAGCTAATGAAAAATGTTTTTTTGCTAGAAGGATTATTTTTCATTTTCTTTTCTCTAGTACTAGAATTATTTTTCAATTTTTTCCCCTTAATTGAGCATTGAAATATTTTGAAACCATGCTCAAATGACTGAAAGAAAAGGAAGCATCACATTTTATGCACAGTACATATAAGATCTTATAACAAATAAGATTTATAACAAATATAACATTTTATATAGAGACATGTCCATGACTTCAGCAATATTTTAATTTAAAATATAGCTACAAATTAATTTTTGAAGAATCTAGAGCTGTGCGCTGTTTCAGGACAAAAATATCTTATGTTATGTGATTCTGGCTATTCCATGATTTTTAAATTTTGAACCAGTAGTGAACACCCAACCTGGACTGACAAATGTATGACTCTCAGCCCTAAAATTCTTATTCTTGCACAGTTTCTCCATCATTCATATCTTCAGATGTGATCCAGGTATAATTACAGGTAGTCCTTGAGTTATGACTGTTCATTTAGCAACAGCCTAGAATTATGATGACCTTGCAAAATGTAGCACCATCGTTACTACTGTATTCATTTGAATTTAATGTGGGTGCTTGGCAACTTTTTTGCACTTACAACCAGTTGCCAGTTCCCCACAATCAGTTGCAATCTTCTCTGCTGACTTCCCCAGACACTCAACGAGAAGCCGGCAATGAAGGTTGCAAGCTTTTGTTACCTGCTTTTCCTAAGGGGTGGGTAAAAGAGCTGCCTTCTGATACGAGCTGAATTCCTTCATCAGGTTGCAGAAATTTGTGCTCTCTTGCACTTCCTGAAAGGAGTTCCTTTCTGTGGACACAGGAGAGCTAAACTACTTTGGAGGGTTACAGAAATGGATCAAAAGCCTGACGCTTTTAGCTCTATTCCTGCATCCTTTTATCCCTGGAGAGGGATTGAATCCCTCTGGCAGGCAGCTGTTTCAGCCAAAGACAATCAGGAGCTGAAATTCATGCAGAGGACAGAGAGTCAGTGCAGTAAGGTAAGGAATGGGATGCCTCAAGAGTGGGTGTGAGGGAGCCCTGGAAGGTCCAGCAAAGGCCACGCACAAGTATCTTTCTCCTCAGGGGCTAAAAATCCTACCTGGATTTCATCAAGGAAGATTTTCAGTTCCTGATGGAGCCTTTCAGAACCTCCTCCATCCCCTTGAGGCACCCTGGACTCTGTCCAGTTAAAACGTGTGTGATCGCTTAACAGACACAATCTGGAGTGTGAGGATTGCACCTGCTGAGTGAAGCAAACCTGTGGGCAGTCACATGATTTCTTGCTTAATGACTACTTCACTCAGTGACAAAGTTTCTGGTTCCAATTATGCCTGTAAGTCAAAGACAACCTATATAATACCTTGGGCAATACAGACGCTTGATGGTGAAAGATTCGTGTTTCTTGAAAGCTGGATTTTTCTAGTATTTTTTTAGATGGACTTTTTCTCTGAGTTTCTGCTTTAGCAAGAATATTTCTCTACTCTTTACTGTTCAACATGAACACAAATTAAAGCTTTCCATTTTTTATTTTATAGATTTTCACAACAAAACAACAGTTTGAAAAAAATGCCAGGGACTGTGCACAGAAATTAAGTCATCTTGAACAAGCAACAAAAATGATGCAATTGAAGGAAACAGAATTGAAAGAAAATTATGAGGTAAATTAAAACTGTAATAGTAATTATACACCTTGGGCAAAGATGAAACAAGGTGGAACATCTAAGCATCAGTGTATCCTTAGATACTAAGCTTCCTGTCCTAATGTTTATAAAACAATTCTTGAGCATTTTGAACATGTATTGTAGTAGAAATCAGTTAAAATAAAGAAACCTGACATAAAGGCTCTGTTTAAACAAAGTTTCCCACAAGGATAGTACAGAGCCTCACATGGCTTTAAACACCAAAGATAACAGGTCCTAAAACTGTTAACACTAATAGATTGTAGAAAAGTTGATATTAATAAAGCTATCAACCTGGAGGGGAAGGATAATGAAATGTCAAGGAATGATATATATTTGAGAACTAGGCATTAAATACATTAACAAAATGTTTGTTACTTGGGATCTCTCTCTGTATCTTTTCTCTTTTCCCAGTGTTGATAAACATGCCAATATTTTTGTTTGTTTCTGGTTTGGAAACTGTAGCGACTGTTCAAGCTCTACCAAAATGCAGTAAAACCTTTTGGGACATTCAGTATTGCTTTTCAGACAGTTGACATTTCCCAGATCTCAACTGCTTAAGCCCACAGTTCCCAAAATGTGCCTTATGGCACCAGAGGTGTTATTCTGCCAGTTCAGACCGGTTCACCTGAACCGGTAGTAGAAATCGCGGGTGGGCCTGCTCACCCGCCCTGGTTCTATGACCTCCCATTTAGGCACGTTTTCAAGGCAAAGCACATGCACAGACAGGATGGGCGCTCACATTTGCAAACCAATAGGTAAGTGAATACCACCCGTGTATGGCACCCCTAGAGCACTACAGCAAACTGCAGGGACACTGCAAGACAGTTTAGTTTGTTGTGATATCCATTTGTGAAATTGTGTTTTGGGCAGTCTTAGGCCTAGGACACTATGGAAGAAATATTATTAAGACACTGAGAACACTGTGAACCAAGAATTCTGGTTTAAGCTGATGGGGAATGATGCTATCTCACTGCAGTATAGATACATCCAATGGCAGGGTTTCAGCTGCCTGTGTGACTCGATGCCCTCCACATGTGTTAGATTACAAGAAATAAGTGTTGTTGTTTTGTACATCTGAATCCCACCAGATTGGAAAATGAGTGTCCAGAGTGATTTGGATCAGTACCTTACAGAATTATGTGCTTGCTGATGACATGTGCAAAATAAATGGGATAGTTTGGGGAAAGTATAGTGCCTTATTGCTTCTTGGTATTTAGTCCAGTGCTAAAGGACTTGTATTCATTTTTTTTCAATTCTATAAACTTAATTAGCCATATTTTTGTTCTGGAAGTATTGAATGGTAACCATTACAAGTTGCAAATCCCATTATATACTCCATCTACCTAAACTCGTACAGTGGTACCTTGGTACTCATTATTAATTGGTCCAGGAGGCACGAGGAATACTAAAAGTGACAAGTGCCAAACTAGCCACATAATTTACCACATGAGCCTTTGTTTCAGACAAGAATGACTTCGTGTCTGTTCCTTTTCCTATGTTAGCAACCTTCCCAGCATGGCCAACTTCCTGTCTGTCCTCTATAGCTCTCCTTTTTTTGCAACAACCTTTCCAGCATGGTCAACCTCCCATCTGTTCTTCGTGACCCTCCCCCTTTTTCTATGACCACACATTGAATACCAAACAAACAACTCGTACCAGGAAAACATTTTCATGTCAAAATGTGTCAAGTACCAAATGCTAGGAGCTCAGCTCAGGTACCACTGTACTTGAGATTTTTTTTAAATAACCATCAACTCAAGAACTTGTTTATTCTTGAAACTGTTAAACATCAGGAGGAAATGTTTGAAGAGAAATATAGATATAATATCAACAAGTATATTTTGTAAAGATAGAAAGGTTGAAAGGGGAAGATGGATGGTATAAATTAATTTTAGCCATTTATCTTCCCCCCTCCCTTATCTCCTTGATTTTCTTTGGCTTCTTTGTTACTTTTCTCCTCTCTGTATAATATTGTTTACCCTAAGTGGAAATTGCATAATGGATTTGTATGTCAAAAATTGCTCAAATACTTTCAAAAGTGGGCCTCTGGAGAGAACATTGGCACAATCCCCTGATTTTCTAACTATTTTGTTTGTTAGAGAGAACCGAAGCAGAAGACTGATCAACAGAATCACCAAGAAGTTCAGCCTTGCTCTGAGGCTGATTTGCTTCAATTGCTGGAAATACAAATCTGCTTTGCCAGCAAATTTCCAGCTTATGCTTCCCATCCTGGTGGCCCCTTCCCTTACACTTGGCTTGGGTGCCTTGGTGCCCATCTGTTGGTAGCAACTCAATGGATAATTGAGGGCTCGAGACCAACAAAGCTCTGCCAATGCCATCTGTTATCTTAGCAACTCAGGAGTGGGTGGTGCACGAATATATGTGCCATTTTCTTTTGGAAAGATTCTTTATTTTATTCCCAAGAGAACAAGGTTATAAAGAATAGACCAATGGGCTTTTTTTAAAAAATGCTATGAAGTTGACAGCAAAGTGACCCCAAATCTTTCACATTCTCTGTTAGCATTTAAAAAAAAAGGATGCAAAAACAAACCAACCAAAAAGTCAAGCTTTCCAGGCTCTGTAATGTAATGGAAAGGATGTCTGGCATTTGATTTAGGAATTCTCAAGATAACTGAGTATCAAAAGGCTGGCCTCTAAGCTATCCCTGATATCGAACCTTGTCTTAGAGGCTGGTTCTACTCCAAGACCTCTGGCTGTAGTCTAATTTATCTCTTCTTTTTAAGCTCTGAAAGAGATGCAGTTGGATTGTGACTCTCCAGTATTATTTCTTTTTACCCTGTGGAAACCTCACCATGGCACAATTTATTACAGGCTAGAGGTTTCCTTTAGCAGCTGCACTTGGCAATTGCTGGGAGAGTACACTGACTTTCAATGTAGATTAACATGTGACAATAGACCAGGGGTGAAATCTACTTACCTTTGCTACACGTTCGCAAATGTGAGTGCAAGCATGCTTGCTCTGCTCGCACGCTCCACATCTCCACATGTGCAGGACCTTCCGCACCTGCGTAAAGTGTCAAAAATGAATGTGATGATGTCCAGGCGGGTGGGCAGAGCCTGCTACTGAGTGTGCCTGCAGAGGTAAGTAGAATAGCGAGGGAGGAATCCGCTGTGCCACGCAATTTAGATTAGCTAGCTAATATAAATCGTGTATCACAGCTGATCATCGGAAATACCGGTTCTCCCGAACTGGTAGCATTTTTTTACTACCAGTTTGGGTGAATCGGTAGCATATCACCCTTGCAATAGACTGAAAGTATAGGGCACTTGGCTACTGGAATTTGACACCTGATAAGGATAAAGATATTTGGTTTGGGATTGCAGGTAATTTTCAAGAAAATATTTCTTTTTTTATTGATCAGTTATNCCTTAATTCCCCAGCACCAAAAGAAATGGATCCAAAAATTTCAGCACAGTAAAGTCCTAATATCACCCGTTGCTGCACAATGGCGCAAGGGAAAGATAAATTGTGGCTTCCAAGCTGAAATTGGTCATTCATGCCTAATTTGCTGCTAGAAGATGTGAACATTACAAGAAAATGTTATGATTTATACTGAGTATCAGAATAATGGTCTTGGTCTAGGGGAAAGGAAAGGTTTCAAGCCAGAATTCGTCATGGAAAATGTAATAACCAATGGATCATTTTCACAGAAATAACATGCAGAGTTTTCCTACACAGGTTTTTCTTGGCTGAGATTATACTTGGAATAATATGTCACTAAATCTTGGCACAAGCTAGGACAAAAACTATTTCTGTTTTCATTTAATTAGAACTAAATATAGTTAATAGGATGACTTTCCAATTGGGGATTCAATGATTTCCCCTTTTTGATGTATTGTAGTCAAATCATGACATAATTTGGTAAGGATATTAAGAGAGCTTCTATATTCTGAGGCCCTTAAATTGGGTACCACTGCTCAGGAGCAGTATAGATCCCACCTGTGAAGAAATCCAACATGTACCAAGATATACTGTACTTATATTTTATGCGTGTAATTTTTCATATGTAGAGCTAAGGTGCAGAATTCAGGAACTAGAAAATAAATTACAAATTCAGACACAAGACATGAAAGCCAAGGTTATGAAGCTTCAGGATAATCAGCTGCAAGTGGAAAAGATGCAGATGGAATTAACTGAAAAAGAGAAAACACTGAACAAAGCTAGAAATGAAATAATTAAAATTAATATACAACTAGATCAAACGACTGATCAGGTAATGTGCATTTTAAAATCTTGGAATCTTTTAAAATTCAAAGAACTGTTGTATGCATGGAAGGCCAATACTAATTGAGTTTAATATAACATGATAATTATTTGTCCTCGTGAGCTGTGTCTCTGAGAGAGGATTTGCCTAAACTGTACCCATAGAGTTTACACAGCTTGGTTTCCTAACCCTAATTCCTTGGGGAGGAGAGAGAACCAATTTTCACACTGCACTTACACTGAATAATTGAAGATTGCTGTTTTGAATAATACTTGCAAATCTCCGCTGTTTCTCAAGATGGTCTTACATTGACAGGAAAAGTAAACTTCAGTTTTTATTGTATTGGCTTCCTTGCTTTCCCTTTCCAACCATAAATACAGGTAATGCTCGATTTAAAATGTTTAGTGACAGTTTGAAATTACAACAGCACTGAAAACGTGACTTGTGATCGTTTTTCACACTCACGACTGTTGCAGCAACTNTATCTTGACATAAACTGTTTTGACCTCAGAATTTAGTTCATTATCATGGCTTCATTGTAAAGATAACTGCAATATTCAACAAATTGGTTTACATTTTATACCTTTGATATTTCAAACAAATGTGAAAAACCTGAAACCATTTGGTCCCCATTCTCATTGGCAAGATTTAATAAATATCTTCTTCGATCAATCAACAGTTTAATGCTGTATCCAGATGAAGCTTGTAAACCTTTGTTTTTCTAATGCAAGTTGCCTGATATTGGTGCAATGGCAAACTGTAGTCTAATATTTTCTAGGAGCATAAAGATAGGAGTAGTTATCACAGGAGCACAGATTTTATTTATGGTGTGTTAGGACTTCATAGACAGAATTGGAGCCTGTATTTTGTCAGTTTATATTTTAATCTTTGTATACTAAGCATTTTATATTTTTACGTCTTTTTAATGACTCTCGTTGCAGATAAAAATTGCTCACTGGAAAAAGAATTAAAATTGCTTGAAGAAAAACTGAACAAGCAAGATAATTCTGTCAGTTTAGAAAAAATGAGACTTGCTGTTTCTAATGTTGAACATGAACGAGATTCTCTCCAGCAAATTGTGAAGGACAAAGAAAATGTAATTGAAGAGCTCAATATGAAACTGGAAAACACAGAAACTCTGCAGAAAACTGCTTTAGAATGCGAAGACCTTAAGAAAGAGATTATGATTCTTTCTCAGTGGAAAAGCAAAAGCAAACAACTCTTGAATGAACTAGATTTAGAAAAAGAAGAACTAATGAGCAGAATACGCAGTTTGGAAAGTGCTTTAAACACTGAGCAACTTAAACATCAGGAAAAGGAAATTGCTCTCAAAGTTGAACATGAACAATTTAGTGAACAGCTAAACATTTTTGAGCAGGTGGTGAAAGAAAAAACAATTGAACTGGAGGCACAAAGGAAAGCCTATAGTGACCTCCAACAAAAAACAGCAATGTCTGAGGAAAAACTACAGAAAGAGAGAGAAAACAATTCACTGAAATTATTTGAGTTCACCAGAGAAGTGGACACCTTGCAGAAAAGACTCAACTCTGAAGCAAATGAAGTGTTAAAAAGGGGAGAATGTATTGTCTCCCTTGAAGCATCCTTAGCTTCTTACATGCAAGTAAATGCATTCCTTCAGAAGCAGGTTGAAGAACTGGTCCAAACCAGGGATGAAATAGAAAGAAGATTTGCTGAAAGAGACGATCCAAAGCAACACATCTTCATTCAGGAAATGAAACAGCAGATCAGTGAATTACAAGAAATGGTTCTCCAAAAGGAAGGCCTGCTTTCCGAAGCATTAGCAGCTCTTGAAGGAAAAAACAAGAATCTACAAAAGTTGATTGAGGAATCAAATAGGCAACAAACAGAGATTCTGGATTTAAAAGAGGGTAATGTGCTGCTTAATAATGTGCAACTAAAAGTTATGGGCTCAAAGGAGCCAAATTTACCTATCAAAATATCCTCAGAACAAGGTGAAACAGAAGAACTTCAGAATGAAAGTTCCATGCTTGAGAATACTGTCAATATTTTGGAAGAAAAAAACACCAAGCAAGACATTTCCAAAAGTTGCAAAGAAAAGAAGGAAAGCCTTTTGGAGTTGTCACGAAGACAGCAAGAGGGGAGCTTGTTGCTGCCAGAAGCTGATGAAGAAGTAGAAAGGAAAAGTACAAAGGAAGATTATTTAGAAAGTGTAAGGAATCAGACTTGCCATTTGAAGGTGCAAAAAGCCATATTTGATACACAAGAAAAACAGTTTATGAACAAATGTGAACAGGTGCAGAATAAGCCAATGTCCTTGGAGAAGAAAAAGAATACTTTACTTTGGCAACTTGAAAAAAGACACTCAGTATCTGAAGAAACTAATAGTTTAAGACAGGAGGGAACAGGAGAAAATAACAGGCCCTCTTCTGTAAATATCTTGCTGCAAACACTGGTCTCAGAAATGAAAGTAAGTGAACATGCAGCGCTTGACTTTGTTTTAAATGAACCAGCATTGGAACAGCTGAGGGTATTTGTAGAAGAAAGAGAGAATGAACTTAAGAAGTATAAAGTGAAGCTTGAACTGCTTCAAATGGACCTTGAAGACAGAGAAATTTCTTTAGAAAATTATGCTGATCAGATAAAGGACTTGGAGATGATATTGAGATCTATGGAGATAAAAATGGAAGAAAGTGACATGGAAAAAGAGAAGTTGCTGCATAAATTACAAGTACTTAAAGATTTGCAAAATTCAGCCTTCAAGATGACAGAGAGAAGTGAAGATGACGAATCACCAATGTGTTTCAGTGCTGTTATCAAGGACAATTTTAACCTACAGAAAGATGCCAAGTGTTCATCAGTTCCTCATGATCTGATGCCCAGCCAAAATGATTATCTCCAATTAGTATCTTCCCTACACATGACAATGAGCAAGCTAAATGAATTGGAGAAAATGTGTGAACACCTGCAGAAAGAAGACTCAACATTAGCATCACAGCTGAAAGACTCACAGTTGGAATGCATCATAAACACAGATATTATGAGAAAAGAATTAATAGAAAAAATGGATAGGCTGAAAGTAGAGACTATTTCTGTTTCTGATAAATTAAGAGAGAAGAGTAAAATGGAATCTGATATGAAGGAAGTCCCCTTAATAACTCCAGAAGGTTATGAGGAATTTGATTACAAATATTTGAAATTAATCAACAAAGAAATCAAAACACAGTTGAATGAAATCAAGGAAAAGATCTTTTCTTTGAAAAACAAATATGAAATTTTAGATATTCAAAACCTGAATATGGCCTTTGAATCATCAGAGTTGGAATCCTACAATGAAATGTTTAAAGATAAAAATATTACATTGCCAATAAATCTCAGCAAAGTTGGGCTGGTTTCTTTTCCAGCCCAGATGACAGTCAATAAAGAATGTAAAGCATATGGACATTTTTGTATGGAGACTCTGCATGATAGTGAAATCTTCCCAAGTACAAAACGAATTTTTATGGAGTCTGATTTGGACAACGGTGTGTCATCAACTGAAATGGAACAACCACATCAAAAGAGACAAATTGATTTGGAAGGTACTCCTGAACAATTTAATATTGCTGATGAATTATATAGCAATGATGCCTGGACCTTCCCCACTAAACTAATGACTATCTCCCAATATTTTCAATGTGAATATTGTGAAAACTCCTTTAAGATGCTTAAGGAATCATTTAGATCTCATAAGATTCTGGAAAGTAAGGCGATAGAAAAGATTCAAGAGCTGTTCCTTTCTGCAAAGAAGGAAGTAGATGGTCTACAAAAACGCAGTGTAGCTGGCAATGAGCCCTGGCGACAAAAAGTTCATAAAGTGATCCTGAAAGTGGCATCTGAACTTCCAGCTGAGAAGAAATTTCCTGAGCTGTTCCCTCAGAAACAAGGAGAGCTACCAAATCTTCATTTAACTTCTCACCCAATAACTTGTGCTGATGCTGGCCACGTAAGTTTACCTAATATGACTGCTTAATTTGACTGAATTTCTTTAGGCATATGTGGTGGTCTCTTATGAGGAATAAGACACTCAGGCAAGATGTCTCGGGATGAGAGCGTTCAGAACAGACTC